TCTTGCCTCAGCCTCCCAAGTAGCTAGGGCAACAGGTGCCCGCCACAATGCCCCTAGCTATTTTTAGGGAGGAGGTCTCCATCTGGCCCAGGCTGATCTCAAACCTGTGAGCTCGGGCAATCCACCACCTCAAGCAATCCATCTGCTTCGGCCTCCCAGAGTGTGAGTATTATAGGCATGAGCTACTGCACCCAGTCCCTTTTCATCAGATTTTTAACCATGGATATTGGTTGAAATATTCAATAACCATATTTTTGTCATCCACAGCTATCATTTTGAATTCTTTTCTATGTGGTGGCTGATGTCTGTAATCCTTGCACTCTGGGAAACCTAGGCAGGTGAATTGCCTGAGCTCACAGGTTCTAGACCAGCCTGAGCAAGTGCAAGATTCCATCTCTAAAAAATAGCTGGGCGTTGTGATGGTCACCTATAGTCCCAGCTACTCGGGAGGCTGATGCAAGAGAATCTCTTGAGCCCAAGAGTTGGAGGTTGCTGTGAGTTGTGATGGTACAGCACTCTAACAAGGACAAGAAAGTGAGACTCTATCTCAAAAAGAAGAAAAATCATTTGTAATCAGCTATAGTCCAAAATTGCTTTTCATGGAAAATAATAAGTACTCTTGAACAAAGACATTCTGATAACTTTAAGATTCAAATAAAAGTTTAGCTAAATGAAAATTTCCAGAATGCTAATAAAAAAACTGATGGATTCATAAAACTGTTAATCAAGATCAAACAAAACAAAAAATTTATTGCATGAAAATAATTGTTAAAGATAATATTTTTATGACTTTTATTTAAAACATAGTTGGTTCTTTAAAGTTTTATAATTTAAGAAAATATTTTCAGATTTAAGAAAAATTCTTCCTAAGCTATCTATAGTTTACAATAATTTAGTAAAGAATACTTTTATAAACAAAGGTGGAAATATTTGCTTTTTTCTCCCTATTTGATTCCTCCAAAATTTGGAAACTATTCATGAGCATTCTTTTTTTTTTGAAACAGAGTCTCAAGCTGTCGCCCTTGGTGGAGTGCCATGGCATCACAGCTCACAGAAACCTAAAGCTCTTGGGCTCAAGTGATTCTCTTGCATCAGCCTCCCAAGGTGCTGGGACTACAGGTGCCTGCCACAATGCCCAGCTATTCTGTTGTTGTAGTTGTAGTTGTAGTTGTCATTGTTGTTTGGCAGGCCTAGGCTGGATTCGAACCCACCAGCTCTGCTTTATTGGCTGTTGCCCTAGGCGCTGATCTACAGGCACCAAGCTGAGCATTCTTATTTTTTATGACAATGAAATTATTTGCATAAGTGAAGGAAAACTCTTATAAGCAGAATATAATTAGAAACATTGGTTGTATTACAAAAGCTTTGACTGAAATGTCATATTTGAGAATGTGCATTAACTCCTTAGCTTTTAGAATTCCCAAACCTTAAAAGAGTAAAAACTATCTTTTATTGGCAGGCCCAGGAATGCTAAGACTGTAAGTAAAATCTAAAGTCTGCCTTGGTTTGGCTTCCTCACCTCAAAAGGTTTCTAAATTTGAGATTCCCACATGATCAATATGGAGAGAAAAAAGTATATTTCTAAAGAAAGACTATAATGCACCTGTTATTGGACTATGCATTGTTTTCAAATTCTTGTTATCTACCTGTAGACTAGACTAGATCCTGAATTCTTCTAATTTCCTACAACTCACCAACTAAACCCACAATCTGTTTTGTTTCTGCAGCCCTATAAGCTGAAACCAGATGAATTTTATTTATTTTTACTTTAAAATGTATTATTATTATTATTATTATTATTATTTTTGAGACAGTCTCATTTTGTCACCCTCGGTAGAGTGAGCCATGACATCATGCTCACAGCAACCTCAAAGTCTTGAGCTCAGGTGATCCTCTTTGCTTCAGCCTCCCAAATAGCTGGAACTACAGGTGTCTGTCACAGCGCCCAGTTATTTTGAGAGATGGGGGTCTTGCTCTGGCTCAAGCTGGTCTCGAACCTGTGAGCTCAGGGCAATCCACCCACCTCAGCCTCCCAGAGTGCTAGGATTACAGGCGTGAGCCACTCTGCCCAGCCCGAGATGAATTTTAAAAAACAAATCTTGTCGCTGTTGTATGAGCGTACGAGTTTGTAAAGCTTACCAAACTGCTAGATGCCAGGACCAGAGATATTTAGAAGTTGACATTTCCATACACAGCTTTGCTCAAGACGCCGGAACAAGTATCAATATCATAATGACTCTCTTACCCCATAGTAAATGATGTAATTGAAATTTCACAATCAGTAACTTCTGCCAATAACTTGAGAAATCCTTTAATATCCTTTGGTTTAATAATAAAATGTGTGTGCAATTGCTAATATTACATGCTTTACCTAGACGTATTCCTCTGGAAAAGTTGAGACCCAAATACACAAAATAAGGAAATAGTCCACATGGGCAGAGCATGGTGGCTCACACCTATAATAATCCTAGCATTTTGGGAGGCCAATGCAAGAGGATCACTTGAGCTTCTTCTGGCCCCTTCTTCAAAACCATCAGGACGGAGCAGTCTGAGTAGGCTGCCCTTGTGACCATGTTTTGTAAGATACTAACATTTCAACATACAGTATTTTTGTAGTCAATCACATTAAATAACTGTTTTGTGTGTGTGTGTGTTTTAACCATTAACACCTATTAAGATCTGCATTGTGTGCTAGCAGTTTGTGAGTATTTATAGTATTTATTTTTAATCTATACTTCCCTCACTCTCCCACTGTCACATGCTCACATACACATATACATGAGTTGTGTGACTTTGGGCACACCACCTCCCTTCTTCAGGCTTACTGTTGTCATCTCTCAATGTGTGAGTCAAAGACAATCTCTGAAAGCTCCCTTGACTCCAGACCCTGAGGACACTCCAGCACCAGGAGACAGGACAGAGATGGTAGATGTTTCAGGTTTTGGAAACATTGGTCTTGGGGCCTGGCTCTAGGGTGAAACTGAGTTCCACAGTCACTGCTCATTCTGCCGGCCTTACCCCAGGAAACGCCTCCTCACCACAGTGACCACATCCCCTCAGGTTGCCTTGGAAATAAACACTCCATGGGGGCAGGGGAGTTGGGGTGCAGTTGCCCAGCAACAGGTGGGGCCCTCCCTTCCGCCCTCACCCAGACCAAGCCTCTCTGTCTGAGCCTTTTCAGGCAACCGCCCAGCGCCTTCCCGGGTCGCAGGGGACAGTGGCTCTGGGAGGAAGAGGAGCCCAGGACTGACCCCAGGTGAGGTAAAGGTGAAGCAGTCTCCTGTAGATGAGAATCTGGGGACAGAGAGAGAAGGGCAAAGACAAACAAGGGTGCTAGAGAGGGACCACAGACCAGGCCATGTTGGTGAGCTTGGGCAGGTACAGAGGTGGCGCCTGAGACCTGGCCAGAACCAGATTCGTGGAGCCTAAGACAGCAAGACCAAGTCCAAGGAGAGCGTCGAGGGGGCAAACAGAGCCCTCAGGGGAGGAGGTGAGTGGTGGCAGCAGCGGGCACACAGGCCACAGGCGGGAGGGGACTGGAAGGGGGTTTATTTCCTCACCCATCACTTCCTCTCTAGGCAGAGCAAGACCTCCAAGCCAGGAGAGAAGCCCTAGGGGCCCTAAAGTTCTTGTCTGAGGCATCCTGGGGTCTCGGAGGGAACGGGGCTTCTGGAAAGGGCTGGAGAGCGGGGCAGGAGGGCCTGGCTCCAGCCTAAGGTAGGCTCTGCAGTTTTCTGGTCCCACCTCTTCGATTTTGCCCTTCCGGGGTCCCGTTTGCTTTTTCCCCCAAGCCCTACACAGAGTCCTGCTGTCCTTTGGCTCTTGCGGGCTCTTGGACACTTGCCACCTCCTTGCCTCTGTCTCTATCGCGTCCCCTCTGCCTCACTGGCCTCCTCTCCCTGCCCTGTGTCTCCCAGATGCCTGTGACTCCAGAGCAGCCAGCTGGGCAGGCCGAGGGGCCCCCAGCGTCGGACGCGGCCGCGTGGCCCCCGCTGCCCTGCGGGCCCTGCATCCCCATCATGGTGGGCCTGGCCTCGCTGGCCGCCCTCTTCATCCTGACCACAGCCGTGCTGGCCGAGCGCCTGTTCCGCCGCGCGCTCCGCCCGGACCCCGGCCGCTGCGCGCCCACGCTGGTCTGGCGCCCCGGAGGCGAGCTGTGGATCGAGCCCGTAGGCACCCCGCGGGAGCGATCGGAGGACTGGTACGGCTCTGCGGTGCCCCTGCTAACCGACCGGGCGCCAGAGCCCCCCACCCCTGGCGGCACACTGGAGGCCCGAGCAACTGCCCCGCCAGCCCCCTCAATTCCACACTCTGCTCCCAGCTCCCTGGGTCCCCAGACTCCGCCGTTGGTCCCAGTTCGCAGCACCTTCTGGGGGCCCCATCCCTGGGAGGCGAGGCCCCCAGCCACCGGTCTAGTGAGCTGGGCCGAGCCGGAGCAGAGCCCCGAGGCTGAGACCCGCACGCAGTTTGGGAGCCCGCAGTTCCAAAGGCTGCGGGCTGGGAGCCCTGAGCCTGACTGGAGCCTCCAGCCTCGGGTCACACTGGAGCAGATCTCAGCTTTCTGGAGACGTGAAGGCCGGACTAGCGTGGGGTTCTGAATCCCCCGGGCCTGGAGGACTAGCCCCACAGAGACCCCTGAGGAAGGGCCTGCGCAAAGGGACTGCAAGTCTGAGCCGATCCTAAGGTTGACCCTCCCCGGCCTTTTAAGTCTAGGTTTCAATTCCCCTGGGTGGAAGCAGTGGGTAGGCTGAGTGAGCATAGAGCCTGGGCGGGAGGCCGCTCAGCAGTGCCTCTCAGGGGCTGTGGCTTAGAGAAGCAGAGGCGGGGCTGACTCTGAGCCAGAAACCTTCAAGATCTCATCCGGATTAAGAACTCAAGGTACCAGACAGGCAGGAAATAGCATCATTCCAGCCGCTTGCATCTTCCTACAGTGCTTACCTAAGATGCCAAGATCAATCTTGTGGATGCCTTGGTGTGATAAGTGACAGTTGTGGGTAGCAAGAGATGGCAGGACTCCAGTTTCTCATAGCCACAAATCTTATCCCTCTTCAGCCGTTGGTACCCCCAAGTTCTCCAGGAAAATAGCATCTGATCACAAACGAATTGTGGCTTTAACCCCCAAGTTGCAACAAAGAACTTGTTGAGGCAAGCTGGAGCAGTGGCCCTCTCTTGCCTGGAGTCCTGGGACCTAAGGTCAGAGAAGACTAACGGGCTCCTCAGCCCACCCTCTATAGCTGCACACTTCTCAGCCCTCCCAAACCTGCCACTCTACGGCAGGGAAAGCCTGAATCAAAGAAACCTGAGTTTGATCCAATATGGAAAGAAGCATTATCCCAGGGCAAGGCAACTTCAAAAATACAGCCTCTAGCATCTCCCGTCCCAGCTTACTGGAGTGGTCCAGAGAGACAGATTTGCCACAAGACAGCATTACTTATAGGGCTGTTACTTATAGGGCTTACACCTTTAATCCCAGCACTTTGGGAGATGGAGGTGGGAAGATTACTTGAGACCAGCCTGGGCACAAAGTGAGATTTCATCTCTACCAAAAATTTAAAAATTAGCCAGGTATGGTGTCAAAAGCCTGTAATCCTAACTACTTGGGAGGCTGAGGGGAGAAGACTACTTGGGCCCAGGAGTTTTAGGTTGTACATGCAAATTTCAACTTGCTTGGCTTATCATTGTTGCTGGGAGGACTTCCTTTGTTTCCACCCATGCAAATTTTATGTTTCTTGATTTTTATGTCCCTCAAAGCTTTTGTAATGATCCATGAAGTGAGCTGTGATCGCACCATTGCCGTCCAGCCTGGGCAACAGAGAAAGACAGATTTATATAAAGTGCTCCACCCCAGAGAAATGAAGCCCCAAACGCATTTAGCCCTAATTCCTGTCTGTACTAACTGACCTCCCTTTTAGGAGAGGAGCAAGGGTGGGGAAAGCCAATGGAGTTTCCATTTCCTAGGGATCTGATTGACCAAACTCCAGACATGAATATTAGGATTTTTGCCATATCCGTTTACCATCTGTACTGTAATTTACTTTATATTTTTCTTTAAATTAGTCCATTATTCACTTAATAAACTTATTTTAAAAGGAGTTTTTTGTATCACTTCTGTAAATAGAAAAACATTATCACTTGCCATAAATAGAAGGTAGAACATGAAAATGAATACAATGTCAGCTAAGCTATTAGTTCTAAGTAATGTTCCCTGTGGAATGCATTGAGCCAAAACTCTGCTTTTTGTTAAAGAAAAGGGGATAGATCAGCAATTCAGAAAAGTGTTAGAATAGTCTAGCCCCAGACTGAGACCTTCCTCTGAAAGTTCTCAGGCACAGAGAGCCCTGCACAGGGGACAATGATCCTGAGTTGTTTATTGCTGGTCAGCAATCTCCCAAGTTCACCCAACCCAGGCACACATTGTGCTCTTCCTGCTTGAGAGAGCTGAGGCGCACTTGGAGCCTCCCCTCCAATCCTGTAGAAGATGAAGCAGCTGCCAGGGAATGAGACACCCCTAGGCAGAGGGGACCAAGAACCCAGTCCAGCCTCTCCCACCAGGTGTACTTATCCATCCTGTGTCCTGAGCACCTTCTCTGAGCCAGGCACTGGGTGGGGGACCTGGTCCTGGCCTCAAGGAACTCACAGTCTCTCTAGTGGCAGGTGTTGAGCCGTGGAGGCAGGGGTGAGATAAGATGTGGACACAAAACTGATCCCAAGTAAAGATCAAGACTCCTGGCCCATCTCTGTCACTCAGGAGCTGGATAACTGCTTTACTTCTCATTGTCACCATCAGCTGCCAAGACAGGGTTGTGAGGACTCTACCCACGAGGAGTGAGCAGTCTGTCAGGGAAACAGAAGAAAGAGACAGGTTGGATGCTTCCACACCAAGCACTCAGGAGAAGCAGCGCAGTGTGGCAGGGACATTAGGAGACAAGGCCTCTGGCTCTCCATCTGGCTTTATCACCCACTCACTTGGAGACTTCAGAAAAGTGATTTTGTATTACTGGGCCTCATGTTTCTTTCTCTGTGCAACAAGAGAACTAAAAATTGAGCAAGATGTTCCGTTGGAGTACATTTTTTAAATTAAATCATAACTTTGTACATTGATGCATTTATGGGGCTCAGGGTACTGCTTCGATATAC